GGCTAACACTTCTGAACTATTGCTTTGTAACAATGGAAAAGTTAGTATATCTATTCTCCATTTGATGATTTCCAGAGAGAAAAATTTAAAGGATCCTTAGTATCTATTTTATAATTAGCATTATGTTAAAATTATTTTTAGAATTAGTTATTAGTTACCCATTATAAAATATTTTTGGAATTTCCAGGTGGTGCTAATGGTAAGGGATCTGCCTGCCAGTGCAGGAGACATAATAAGACACAGGTTTGATTCCTGGGTCAGGAAGATCTCCTGGAGAAGGAAATGGCAACCCACTCCTGTGTTCTTGCCTGGAGAATCCCATGGACAAAGGAGCCTGGCAGGCTACAGTCCATAGGGTTGCAAAGAGTTGAACGTGACTGAAGTGATTTAGCAAGCAAGAAATATTTTAAAGCTGTACAGTCCTAGCTTTAACATTTCCTAGATTTAAGAACTTAGATTGGTATTGGTTTCTAAGTGTTCTCATACTAGTCATATGAATAAATAAGGAACAGAAGTAAATGATGGTTGGTTTATAAGTATGACATTCCCTTGGCAGAGGTTGTAAGTGGGGTTGGTGTGGGATGCTGACACTCCTTTCTGCCTCTCAGTCCTTTTTTTACCCTTCACCACTATAGGGGACTACTCTTACTACTAAAAGGTCTCTAATGTTTCTGTCAGATAGACTTTATTAGAAAACAGGCTAAATTTTTAAAATTATTTTTATTCATGGGATCATAACTGGAAAATTTAGCAATTTTAACATCTATAAAAATATTTATATTCAGTAAGTATAGAGAGATTTATCTGTGATCATCCTGAAGGATATGTGTTACTTGAATGAGCCTCAGGGCAAATACATGAATGAAAACTTCCACTGAAATGTTATATATTTGATTTTATATTTGTTCAGGTTTAAATACAAGACTTAGGAAAATAGCATGTATTATGTTACTACAGAGAAAATATTTTTCTATCAACTCCAGTGATTGTCTTTCTTTAGCAAAACTTGATACACTAAATTTGTCATTATATGGACTTCTTTTCAAATAAGTGATCCTGTGACTAGGGTTTTTGCATGTTTTAAATTTCTAAAAATCTGTTAGAATGCAGTTGACTTGTATTTCTAAAAATTAGTAGTGATAACACTTAGCAGTTTTTCCTTCCTATTTTTCTCATAATATGGCCTCACTGAATTGACATACTTTCCTCTCCTTCAGGGGAGTCTATATTTTTCTACCCAAGTGTTTTGCTCATATTTACTTTCTGCTGTAAGTCTGTGTTAGTGAATATTACTCATTATTTGAAGCTCACAGTGTTCATTCCTCTTTAAGTACATAACTACCCAAGTAAAATATTTTTTCTTTTTACTGTGTTCCTAGAATACATTTAAAACATTTTTCCCCCTATTCTGTAGTCTCTTTAATTACATAGGTAGTATTGTTCAACCATTTCCACAACTTTTTTACATCACTGCAAACAGAAGTTTTATAATTGTTAAGCAATAACTCTCCTTCTGCCCAGTCCATCCATCTCTCCTCCCCTACTGCCTCCATCCACTACTCCTGGTGCCTCAGATCTACTTCCTGTCCCTATGAATTTGCCTACCGTGGGTATTTCTTTTTTTTTTTTTAATTGGAGGCTAATTACTTTATAATATTGTAGTGGTTTTTGCCATACATTGACATGAATCAGCCATGGGTGTACACGTGTTTGCCATCCTGACCCTTCCTCCCACCTCCTTCCCCATTGCGTCCCTCAGGATCATCCCAGTGCACCAGCCCCGAGCACCCTGTCTCATGCATTGAGCCTGGACCGGTGATCTGTTTCACATATGGTAATATACATGTTTCAATGCTATTCCCTCAAATCATCCCACCCTCGCCTTCTCCCAGAGTCCAAAAGTCTGTTCTTTATATCTGTGTCTCTTTCGCTGTCATGCATATAGGGTTATCATTACCATCTTTCTAAATTCTGTTTATATGCATTCGTATACTGTATTAGTGTTTTTCTTTCTGACTGACTTCACTCTTTATAATGGGCTCCAGTTTCATCCACCTCATTAGAACTGATTCAAATGCATTCTTTTTAATAGCTGAGTAATATCCCATTGTGTATATGTACCACAGCTTTCTTATCCATTTGTCTGCCAATGGACATCTAAGTTACTTCCATATCCTGGCTATTGTAAGCAGTGCTGTAGTAAACATTGGGGTGCACGTGTCTCTTTCAGATCTGGTTTCCTCGGTTTGTATGCCCAGCAGTGGGATTGCTGGGTCATGTGGCAGTTCTGTTTCCAGTTTTTTTAAGGAATCTCCACACTGTTCTCCATACAGTGGCTATACCAGTTTACATTCCCACCAACAGTGTAAGAGGGTTCCCTTTCCTCCACACCCTCTCCAGCATTTACTGTTTATAGACTTTTTGATGGCGGCCATTCTGAGCAGCGTGAGATGATACCTTATTCTGGTTTTGATTTTCATTTCTCTAATAATGAGAGATGTTGACCATCTTGTCATGTGTTTATTAACCATCTATATGTCTTCTTTGGAGAGATGTCTTAGAAAAGTATAACCTTCCGAAACTGAACCAGGAAGAAACAGAAAATCTTAACAGACCCATCACAAGCATGGAAATTGAAGCTGTAATAAAAAATCTTCCAACAAACAAAAGCCCAGGACCAGATGGCTTCATAGGTGAATTTTACCAAAAATTTAGAGAAGAGCTAACACCTGTCTTACTCAAACTCTTCCAGAAAATTGCAAAGGAAGGTAAACTCCAAAATTCATTCTATGAGGCCACCATCACCCTAATACCATGACCAGACAAAGATGCCACAAAAAAAGAAAACTATAGGCCAGTATCACTGATGAACATAGATGCTCAACAAAATTCTAGCAAACAGAATCCAACAACATATTAAAAAGATCATACATCATGACCAAGTGGGCTTTATTCCAGGGATGCAAGGATTCTTTAATATTTGCAAATCAATCATTGTGATACACCATATTAACAAATTGAAAGATAAAAGCCATATGGTTGTCTCAGTTGATGCACAGAAAGCCTTTGACAAAATTCAATACCCATTTATGATTAAAAAAAAAAAAAAAAAAAACCTCTCCAGATAGCATAGAAGGAACATACCTCAACACAATAAAAGCCACGTAGACAAACTGGTAGCAAACATTATCCTCAATGGTGAAAAATAGAAACCATTTCCTCTAAAACCAGGGACAAGACAAGGGTGCCCACTCTGACCACTGTTATTCAACATGTTTTTAGAAGTCCTAGGCACAGCAATCAGAGAAGAAAAAGAAATCAAAGGAATCCAGATTGGAAAAGAAGAAGTAAAACTCTCACTGTTTGCAGATTACATGATCCTCTACATAGAAAACCCTAAGGATACCACCAGAAAATTACTAGAGCTAATCAATGAATGTAGTGAAGTTGCAGGATATAAAATTAATACACAAAAATCCCTTGCGTTCCTATACACTAACTGAAAATACAGAGGAAGCAATCCCATTCACCATTGCAATGAAAAGAATAAAATACTTAGGAGTAAATCTACTTAAAGAAATAAAAGACCTATATATAGAAAAACTGTAAAACACTGACAATAGAAATCAAAGATGACACAAATAGATGGTGAAATATACCATGTTCATGGATCAGAAGAATCAATATAGTGAAAATGAGTATACAGCCCAAAGCCATCAATAGATTCAGTGCAATCCCTATCAAGCTGCCAGTGGTATTTTTCACAGAGCTAGAACAAATAATTTCACAATTTGTATGGGAACCCCACAAACCTTGAATAGCCAAAGCAGTTTTAAGAAAGAAGAATGGAACTGGAGGAATCAACCTGCCTGACTTCAGGTTATACTACAAATCAACAGTCATCAAGGCAGTATGGTACTGGCACAGAGACAGAAATATAAATCAGTGGAACAAAATAGAAAGCCCAGAGATAAATCCGTGCACCTATGGACACCTTATCTTTGGCAAAGTAGGCAAAAATATACAGTGGAGAAAAGACAACCTCTTTAACAAGTGGTGCTGGGAAAACTAGTCAACCACTTGTAGAAGAATGAAATTAGAACACTTTCTAACACCATATGCAGAAGTAAACTCAAATGGATTAAAGATCTGAATGTAAGGCCAGAAACTATAAAACTCTTAGAGAAAAACATAGGCAGAACACTCTCTGACATAAATCACAGCAAGATCCTCTATTACCCACCTGCCAGAGTAATGGAACTAAAAGCAAAAATAAACACATGGGACCTAATTAAATGTAAAAACTTTTGCACAATGAAGGAAACTGTAAGCAAGGTAAAAAGGCAGTCTTCAGAATGGGAGAAAATAATAGCAAATGAAACAACTGACAAAGAATTAATCTCCAAGATATACAAACAGCTCATGAGGCTCAATACCAGAAAAATGAACAACACAATCAAAAAGTGGGCCAAAGAACTAAATAGGCACAATTATTTTCAAATGATCAAGCTTCCTTTAAGTTTTAGTGAATTGGAGGGGATAACAGTTTTCATTATTTTTTGAAACTTTCACAAACAAGTATCTATGTGTCATTATTTTTCAAAACTTTCACAAACAAGTATCTATGTGTTTTGGCAGGGAAGAGAGAAAGGCTATATGTAAGATGGTGGATATCTAACGAAAGCGTGTGTGCATGCTAAGTCGCTTTAGTCATGTCTGACTCTTTGTGACCCCATGGACTTCAGCCCGCCAGGCTCCTCTGTCCATGGAATTCTCCAGGCAAGAACACTGGAGTGGGTTGCCATGCCCTTCTCCAGGGGATCTTCCCATCTAACTCATGAGTGATGATATCTAAGTTCACTCATCCGTTGACGATAACAAAGATTATATTAAAAGAAGACGTGATTTTGCTTAATAAAACGTAATTGTTATTATATTTAGTATATCAGATGTATAATTTTTAGCTTATTAACTATTATCCTCATTGTCATTCACTTTAGAAATACAAACCTGGTCGATGTGATGATATTTTGAAATGGAAGCCTCCCAGTCTGAATTCTGTGGATTTTCGCCTAAAAATAACAAGAATGGGAGGAGAAGGGTAAGTATGCACCTTTGATTCCCCATCATTTTTATATATAATAATACTTTTACTATTCCTAGGTATTTACCCAGAAGTTATGAAAACAGATGTCCACATAAATGTTTGTATTATATAAAACTTCACTGTTTATCTGGTATTTTACATATACCTTCAAAATAAAGTAAAATACTTTTCCAGTATACTTTATATATGTATACTGTAAATCTATCTCATTTTCCCAGATTTTTTTTTTCAGATTATTTCTTTGATATATTACAGCTCACGTTTTTTAGCATCCTTTAAAATTGACCAATTTTAGTCTTAAAAAAAGTTATTTCTAATATTAACACAATTAACTTCATTAAAATGTAAAAGTGAAAATAGATTTTACTTGAAAATAATCCAGTCAAGTGAATTATAAATGTAAGATATTATTATTATTGTTGAACGTTTTTAAGCAAGCCATTTTTCCTTTGAAGGAAACTGCTTCATGTTTGCATTTGCGTAGCAAAAACTCATTTTTCTTTATTGGGGTAGAGTTTTAATTGTAGAATTTCATTACAGTTTTTCATAATGTCTATTAAGTGTTAATTTCATGTGTTGGTTAATCTTCATATGTGACTTCATTGGTTGGTGGTGGTTGTTGTTAGTTGCTAAGTCATGTCCAACTCTTTGGCCATCCTGGGCTCCACTGTCCATGGCAGGAATTCCCAGGCAGGAATACTGGAGTGGGTTGCCATTTCCTTCTCCATCATTGGTTGCTACTTTAGAGTAAAAAAAAGAAACATGCTTTAGTGTTAATAAATATTTTCATTGTTTTTCCAAAGCCTTGTTTTATTTTACCTGTTCCACAATTTTTTATGGCATCTTATGTAAGTAAATGCATAATAACAAAACAAGAAATGCTTAATCAAGGAAATCCTGAAGAGAAAGTATATAAGGTGACATTGGCAGAAAGCTTAAAAGTGTGCCAGTGCATGCCGTGAAATGCATGCACTTTTTATTTGCCAAAGATAAACCACAGGTCTGTTTTTCTGTAGCTAATGGAATGAAGGGTAGACGATGAGTTATGTGAATACAGATTCCAGAAGATTAAGTCTCTTAAGAAATTATATGTTTTCAAGTAATGATACTGTGTAGTGTGATGAATCCTAACTAAAAATAGAGAGTTTATTAAGTCATATATCAGTTTTTAAAACATAGAGTAGTTAATATTTTATGTCCTTAAATAAGAGTTTGTGACTTAATAACAAAGTACAATTTAGCCAGAACAATAATCTGGGACCTGAAATAGTGTTGTTTAGGTATTTTACTCTCTATTGATCTGGTTTAATCCAAAGATAGATTGATAACTTTTGACTATAGAATTGGATAGAGTGTATATATTCTATAGAATAATGTAGAAGATTAGATAAAAGAAATAATATTGGTAATCTAGGATAGCTGTATGCTGGATATCTGTCAGGAAGAATAATCTTTAGTTTACTATTTATCAATACTTATCTATGCATTGATATTAATACTAATATTAATTAACCATTTGTTAATTATTAACCAGTATTCTAATACAGTGTTGTTATTATAACAATTACTAATAAGATGAATAAATATTATTAACATTTTCTGGAAACTGCCCCCAAACACATTCCTCCTCCCCTCATATATATAAAATAACACTATCTTTGGATAAGTATTGCTGAGTAGTAAGCTCAAGACTATTATTCTTCATGATGAAGTGTTGGGTGTACAGATATTCTGGGTTGCCAGTTCACTTTAGAACCTCCAAATCAGTAGTCATGCAAGCTGATGCTTATATGTCTTTCTGGAAGTGCCTTGGAGAACACCACCTCTCTTCTAAACAGTGCTGGCTGAAGGATTAATGCTGATGGGGCTGCATGCATCTTCTTTTTCCCTTAAAAGACACACATGAGTATGGTTCTTTGGAAATAAGACTTCAAAGATAAAGTGAAATTTATGAAATTTCTCCATTACTAGATCCTCTATTTTACTTAAATCTCTATTTATAATATTTAGTTAAGAAGTATAAACCCTTGTGTGACTTTGTTGATTGTTTCATTGAGTTTTGAAAGATCATTTTGTTTGGCTTTCTAAGATTGCCGTTCTTTGCAGCACTTAAAAGCTACATGAGGCTACATGTGGAATGACCATTTTTCTAAGTCTTAAAAATGATATTAATTTTTTCCTTTATTTGTCTATTGCAATTAAATATGACAAAATATAGTTTAGTAGTTTGTCATTTGCTTCTATTCTTAGTATGTTTTAATATATATATTTTTTCCCTGTTTGGAATGTCTTCCTATTAAAAAAAATGAATTATCTCTTATTCTAGTACCTCTTTAAAACATACCAAAATGTTAGCATTTAAGATGATTTTTCTTATAGGATTAAGCAGGTTACATTAGTGTAAGTACATGATTTATTTATGTAACATGAGTGTCAGTTTTCAAAAATGGAGTATTTAATTTGAAATATAAAGTGATAAATATTATATTAAATATGTATTATACAGTTAGCTGGAGTAATTTCCTTTTTTTCCCATGGAGAGAATGTTATGTATGATAGCAGTTTTCACAAAGTAAATGAGTTTGTATCTAATGCTTATGTTAGATGTGGTATATCAGAGAGCATTATGGGAAATATACCTGTAATAGTTTGAGAGGAGTGTAGCCATGTCTCTGAATCATAAGAATCATAACATGTGACTAGTGAAGTGGGACTAAAATATTAAAATATCATAAGGCAAGATAATTTCTTTGTTTTGCTCGTAAATATTTCTACAAAGTTAAGTATGGAGTGGAATGTCTTGACAGGTATAATATAAATACCAATCTTTGAAAATGTCTGCCATTATTTTTTTTTTTGCAGACATTTGGTCTTTTCACTTCTTGTAATATCATTTCTGAAAATTTGAACATATGAAGTTAATGTTGATTTATCATGGCCTAAAATAACTTGTGTACATCTTAGCAGTTTATATTGTATTGACATACAATACAGATTTTCATCTGAAAGCTATTGCATTGCTTTAAAATTATTGTGGGTTTAAATAATCTACAACCAAAAAATGTAGTCAGTGTCAAAAACTAGGATTACGAAGGTTGTCTGTATTCTGGAGAGTGCAAACACTTGAGTACAACAGTGTCAGTGACTTATAGTGAGCAGAATAACCTTATTATTTGTATAGCATAGTTTAGAGCACAGATTCTAGAGCCAAGGTGCCTGGACTTAAATGTTTTATTAACTATGTGCTTTGAGCATATTCTTTATTTCTGTACCTCAGATTCCTCAGGAATCACCTCACTGATGCAATGGACTTCAGTCATTTCAGTCACTCAGTCATGTCCGACTCTTTGCGACCCCATGGACTGCAGCTTGCCAGGCTTCCCTGTCCACCAACAACTCCAGAGCTTACTCAAACTCATGTCCATCGAGTCGGTGATGCCTTCTAACCATCTCATCCTCTATTGTCCCCTTCTCCTCCCGCCTTCAATCTTTCCCAGCATTAGGGTCTTTTCCAGTAAGTCAGTTCTTGGCATCAAGTGGCCAAAGTAGTGGAGTTTCAGCTTCAACATCAGTTCTTCCAATGAATATTCAGGACTATTTCCTTTAGGATGGACTGGGTGGATCTCCTTGCACTCCAAGGGACTCTCAAGAGTCTTCTGCAACACCACAGTTCAAAAGCATCAGTTCTTTGGCACTCAGCTTTCTTTATAGTCCAACTCTCAGATCCATACATGACTACTGGAAAAACTATAACTTTGACTAAATGGGACTTTGTTGGCAAAGTAATGTCTCTGCTTTTTAATATGCTGTCTACGTTGGTCATAACTTTTCTTCCAAGGAGCAAGCATCTTTTAATTGCATGGCTGCAGTCACCATCTGCAGTGATTTTGGAGCCCAAACAAATAAAGTCTGACATTGTTTCCACTGTTTCCCAATCTATTTGCCATGAAGTGATGGGACCAGATGCCATGATCTTAGTTTTCTGATTGTTGAGCTTTAAGCCAACTTTTTCACTCTCCTCTTTCACTTTTATCAAGAGGCTCTTTAGTTCTCCTTAGCTTTCAACACCTTTTCTCCTTCGCCATAAGGGTGGTGTCATCTGCATATCTGAGGTTATTGATATTTCTCCCAACAATCTTGATTCCAGCTTGTGCTTCATACAGCCTGGCTTTTTTGCATGATATACTCTGCATATAAGTTAAATAAGCAGGAGAATATATAGAGCCTTGAAGTACTCCTTTCCCAATTTGGATACAGTCTGTTGTTCCATGTCTGGTTCTAACTCTTGCTTCTTAATCTGCTTACAGAATTCTCAGGAGGCAGGTCAGGTGGTCTGGTATTCTTATCTCTTGAAGAATTTTCCATAGTTTTTTGTGATCCACACAGTCAAAGGCTTTGGCATAGTCAATAAAGCAGAAATAGATATTTTTCTGGAACTCACTTGCTTTTTCAATGATCCAATGGATGTTAGCAATTTGATCTCTGGTTCCTCTGCTTTTCTAAATCCACCTTGAACATCTGGAAGTTCACGATTCATGTAGTGTTGAAGCCTGGCTTGGAGAATTTTGAGCATTACTTTGCTAGCACATGAGACGAGTAGAATTGTGCAGTAGTTTGGGCGTTCTTTGGGATTGCCTTTCTTGGGGATTGTAATGAAAACTGACGTTTTCCAGTCCTGTGGCCACTGCTGAGTTTTCCAAATTTGCTGGCATATTGAGTGCAGCATTTTCACAGCATCATCTTTTAGGATTTGAAATAGCTCAACTGGAATTCCATCACCTCCACTAGCTTTGTTCATAGTGATGCTTCATAAGCTCACTTGACTTCGCATTCCAGGATGTCTGGCTCTAGGTGAGTAATCACACCATCGTGGTTATCTGGATCATGAAAATCTTTTTTGTATAGTTCTTCTGTGTATTGTTGCCACCTCTTCTTAATATTTCCTGCTTCTCTTAGGCCCATACCATTTCTGTCCTTTATTGTGCCCATCTTTG